CTCTGATAGAAATTAAATAATTTCCCTTGGTGAGGTTAAAAGCTCAAATTCATGGGCTATAATTTTACATTCTTACTTATTAACAAACAAATTGATATTAATAATCATATGGCTGGTAAGATCTTTTTGAAAGAGGGATATTTTTGGGAATATTACAAAATCAGTATCACACAATGTAACCCAATAAAAGTAACCACCAATATCTAGTAACCCTAACATCAGTATGCACATTCTCTTCACTGTTCTCTATACATTTCCTGACGTGCTGAGAAGGAGAATTAATTTAATAATCAAGGGCTTCTTTACTTAGTGATCATTTCACTTACATGGTCATATTCATAGGGTTTTTAAAATATGGAATTAATCTTTTAGGACTAAAGTAGATTTAAAACCCAGTTTGTATGAAGAAGGTACAGTTAAAGCTATAATTTGTGACAAAATTCAACCAAAATAAAATAAATTATATGTTTGGAAATTGGGACAGAACAGCTGTTATTACACTTTGACAACATGTGTACATACACCTGTGGACTATTGAAAAGGTAGAGAAGCAAACAAATCAAGCTGTGTATACCTCAGCTGTTCCAGCAGCAAAAAGTTGATGCACAGGGTTAATGTCACAAGTATTTATCTCACTGGAACAAATTGAAAGTACAAGTATAGTGTAATTGGTCAAGAACTGGTCAAAATTATAGCTGCTATTTTAACAAATTCAACTGATAAATGAACTGAAATTGGTTGCAATAATGGAAGGGACTTACACAGCATTGGTTTGAAGAGAATTTAAGAATCTTCCTTGTTCAAGATTCAGTCGGTATACTTCTGAGCTGTAGTCAAATGATCACATGAGAAAAAGTGAGTGTAATATAACTTTGCTCTCTATATCAATATCCAATAAACAGAGGATGAGAACAGTAAAACACACAGGTCCAAAGGTGTCATCTTGATAAAACATTCAATTAGCTTAATCAATTAACATGGAACTATAGAGTAGTTCAAAGGGAGAATCAACAATCAATACTCAAGAGTCAAAGAGTGAAGAACAGTACAAATACCGAGGCAATCATCTTTAACTATAAAACTAATTTGATTCAAATTCATTTTCATTTGAATCTACAAATTATGATGACAAACATAGAAAGAAACAGAGTCAATTTGAACCAAGCCATCCTCATCAAAACATCACTTTCGTTCTCACAAAGTAAAACAAATCAGTGATTAAAATGCAAACTTCTAAAAGTTGCAATCTCAAGGAAGGTTATAAAATTGTGAATAGAATATGTGACTTCATGAAAATTCTACACAAAGACTTAAAAGATGAAAATTCATAAACAATTCCTGTAAAATTTACCTTGCTCCTACAAGATAGAGATCACAGGATGGATAATGGTAAACAAGGTCACGTCCAAACTTAGGAATCCTGGTGCGATAATAACGTCCATACTACAAAAAAATAGTTTTAATAAATATTTTGAATAAGACTTTGAAATCAATTGCCAACCACTACTCCCAGATAATATAGCTTCACCTGTCTTGATCAGTCTAATTGGATGTACACTGCTTGGTACACAGTGACTGGTAAAGCAAAATGTAGTTATCAGGTATTACCTGATAACTACATTTTGATTTAGACAGGTGAGTCTGCACTAGAGCCAAGAGGCCCAAGAAGTACCCTAGTTTCTTCTGGTCTCTGCCGCCATCAGTCAGCCAGAGTTTGCTCAAATTTTTTAGCCAGTGCTTTACTGGCATATCTGCATGATGCCACAATTTTCAAGATCTGCATATAGATAAGCCTTCTTAACAATGATTTGAAAGACAAGAATTTCTACATTTATTTACCATTTACCTGAGCATGAAACTCCACATGGCGATCACAGGTTAAGAACACCATCTGATGTAACAAAGCAACATGAATTCAGGTAAAGTTAATTTCAGTCCTTTAGAAAATTTACAGTGAACTTAAAAGCTATTGGCAGCTGAAAACATAATTATACAACAAACAAAGATATTGAAATTCTGCAAGACAAGTTCTGTACAAACCAGTTGGTAAAATGAAATTGTTATTAAATCTATCAAACATTTTTTAAGCATTGGTGTATTGTTTGTGGTGATGGCAATTTTCAATAAAGAATTTTTTTCATCCAAACCAAGTACTGAATCATATATACAAGATAATGCACTCTGTACCTTAGAATAATCTTCAGACAATATATGGAACTTCACAACTGTAAAGAAATAACAGCAAAAATAGTTACATTCATGAATTGTATGTTTATGCTCAGACAAACATTTGTCCACCTGTATAAAAGTAAAGATCTCTTTGACCAAAAATGTAATAATCCACATGACTTTTCCTGTAACAGAAAATGTCATTTAATTACCCTTGATTCTGTTCAAGTTGGATTAACAATTATGGCTAAAGGGAATTTATAAAAAGAAGCCTGAAGAATAACATGATGATATAATGTAGAAAGAATGAGCACACAACTTACTTTCAGAATCCAGACATCTTTCAAACTTCATACAAAGCTCTGATGTATCATAACAGCGAATTCGAGGTTTGTAAACCCCTTGTAGACAAAAGTAAGGAATTGTTACAAAAAACAGAGATTTACATGACATGGATCTCTATAGAACTTTACAATCAATCTAAACAAACAGCTGCCACAACTATAGCTAGAAAGACACCCTGGATGTTGTACACTGCTTGTTAAGAGGTATGTGAGCTCTCCAGTATTGCTTGCACATTTTAATACTCCACTCAAGTTATTGAAATTTAAAATGCCTTGGTTTTTCATAGATTGGAACTTTAAAACAGACTTCACAGCTCATGCTCTTCATGTACACGGCACTTTCCTACAGATCCCACTTTAATTAAAATTTTAGTACATTTACTGCACAAAAAATAACAAGAAAACTCACCTGAAGCCATTATGTACTGTTTGTCTGCAGAAACACGAACATTTGTAGAAGCAGTTGGCATCTCAAAATCCTGAAGAAGTTCAATTCGTCTTCTGATGTCTGTAAAAAGAGAAAGAAAATACTTTGAATTTTACATTATTTAGACAAGGGGTGGGAATTTTCTAAGCAAGTTGCCTCTGGCCACATATAAACTTTCCAAGCAACTGCACTTACATTCATCAGCTGAGCCACGAAACGTAATAGAAAAAGACAAGAATATAATTTTATCAATCAACATTCCGAGAAAAAGATGAGAATATGACTTTATCAATCAACATTTTGACCTCTACACAGTTTAAAACTTACTAATATCATTCTTCTGCAAGGTTCGCTTCTTTCTTTCAGAAAGCCACTACAAATAGAAACGAATATCGTCAAAATTCTTTTAATCAAACATTTCCTCTGGTTGTAAACATAAGACACGTGTTGCCCTTTCCGGGCACTTTTTCGACTTCAAAGCTAAACAGTGAAACGTAATGCTAATCATCTCCTTTTCTTACCTCCGGCAAAGATTTTCCTGCCGACAAGTTATAAATTTTAACATTATTCGGTTGTGAAACCTGCATTTTTCCTAGTTTATTCTTAGTACAACTCTTAGTCACCCTTGGTCGGCCGCCATCGTTTCTTCAGTCGTCCCCACTCTCTTCGTTCTTCTTAGAATACCGCTTTCTTCAGTCCATTTCCTGCAGGCTCAGATCCTAGTTTGGCGCAATAAGCGCGAAAGCTCGCTTAAAATCTGGTTTGCTTGACAAGGTATTTCAAAATCTATGAAAGATCGGGCACAAGAACAAGATCTTACGGATGACATTCTCCATAGTGTGTTTCGAACAAGCAAAAGTCCCGGAGAAAAATTCATAACACTCGATTGGACCAGGAGCATTGATATTAATATGCTCCTGCAGCCTGATTGGACTAGTTTGGCAGTGTAATATTAAAGCTTCTCAACTGGGAGGGTAGTGACTAACGCGGTAGTGAAAGTGGCCATCCCGAGTTGGTTACCGGAACTGCTTTGAAGAGAGAGTTTATTACAGAGGGTGAACATTCCACAAACCGCTTTCGTTTTCTCCGATAGTCAGACACCGCCTTCGTGGCAGAATGAATCCCACAGCGCCGGTCTTTTAAGAGACTTCGCACATTCTTTACTTTAATCGTATTTATCCCGGCAAAGATCACAATATCTTAACAACAAGATATCTTGTTTTTAGAAGATTAACTAATTAATTCATTTTGATTTAATCCCTTTCAATAACCCGCAGAAAAAAAAAAAAAAACGACTTCTAATAAATAATATACAGACAGAGAAAAGGCAACTCATTAACAACATAGTATAAAAATACAACTTTGCAAGGCTGGGTGACTCGCTTGTACCGTGTGATCTCCCCTTCCCCCCCGCCACTTCTGAAATAAATTAACTAAGAAAAGTAGTTCGGTTAGCCCTAAAACGCAGTCTTCTTCCGTTGTTTAGGAACAGGCTTGAGAAAGTAGGCTTCAAGAAAAAGAAAGTAGGTGTTTACTTCAGCCTATTAACGGCTATTTACAAAACCGCCACCAAACACGAAAAATTTGAAAACCGCGTGAATAAAGTTATAATCTTCCGCAGCCGCGCCATAATTTTCCAACTGTAAACCGCCACGTATACAAAAATACGACAGTGACCGCAAATCGACACTCAAAATTAGTCAAAACAACCAAACCGCCTGAGTATCATGAGAAGAAGCTGCGATTTATGCTGCGCTCACAATTTCGACCAAACCGCTGGCCAAGACAGAAACTACCCTGGAAAGTTTATGCTCAAAAAACTTGTGCGAATGTGTGGGTTTACTCTGCGCCTTATCACTTAAAATGAAGCTTAATGTTTTTGTTTGTGACGGCAAGTATTTCGGAAGAGCTAATATAATTGAAATCCTTCAGATTTTTCAATGGATTCTTCCCGGCTGGGTACCAGGCCGGCTTAGCAGGGGCTTGGTAAGAAAACAGCAACACTTGCACAAGAGAGCAGAAACTGATGAGAGAGAGCTACCTCTACTCTCTGTGCGCTCTTTGACGCGCGTGGCTTTTCACTCGCGTGTAGCTACTCACTTGCGCGAACCAATCTAGATCACTCGTAAGTGATTAGTACGTGATCATGAACAGTTGCCAGTAGGTCAGTATGAAGGCACGCAAAAGGGGTCCGTCAGTATAGGTCCTTCTATCTAGAGGCGTCACGTACGCCAGTGGGATTTCTTATGAGACTTCTTTCGATGTAAAAAAAAAAAAACAGCAAGATATTATAGACCATGCAATATACACCAGTTAGGACAATAACATAGATATATGTTCATATCATGTAAGTTGGTACTATGTTATAATCAAATAATCCTAATTTCCTAATACAATTTTGCTTACACTTCAAGTTCAATTCTTCAGCCAACTTCGTCTCTACATAAATCTTAAATCCAACTTTTCGACTGAGTTTTTTTTTTTGCGTTCTCTTTTAAATTTTCCGGCGTGAAGAATGTATCTTTGGTCAATATGAATAAAATTGGACCCATATCAGGAAAATAATTTGTGCATCCGTTGTGGTCAAAGTGACTTAAGGTATTCATGCTTGGATCAGACCCAGAGCCTCGCCTTCTCTAGCATAAGAAGTGGCCTTAAAATATTGGTGGTAACAGAGGGTAGCGTTTTAAGTTAATATTATTATTCATATTCTGTACGCTGTTCTCTTAATGTTTCCTATCGTACTGACAAGGATAATGTGCTCGACAACCAGGAACTTCTTCAATTGGTGATCCCTTTCTTTATTCTCATGATCGTTATATTTGATTCAAAAGTGAAACTGTAAGGAGAAATTATTAGTCTGTCACTCTAAGGGGTTAAAGGGTAAGAATAACAACATTCTGATATCGATATCCACAATGAGGAGTCCCACTTTGATGAGTGTAGCAAAGGGTTTATACGTGACCCGTGAATTTTCTAGGAAGGCAAGCGTGATTCGTAATTCCTTAACACAGCATCTGGGGCGTGATTCGCTTTCTGAAATAAACGAGACACGTGAATTTTTTGTTCCATTTCGTGAAAACCCTAAAATCCCTGAAACCTTGCGCACAAGAAGAGAGATTTGTTTTTCCCTCTCGTAAGGGTGACGCGTGAATTTTTCTAAATTTCATGCGTAGAACGGGATCAGGACTCCCTTTGCTACCCTCTTTGATGTTCCTCGTCTTGCGATTGATCACGTTTTGATTGGGATCGCACTGCTATATCATTTAATATCACACACTTCGCCGAAGCGGACAAAGATCTCTAGGTTTTAAATCATAATTATAACACCGTATCAAATTCGCGCACTTGGATCTTAATTTGCGGGGGAAATGGAGCCGGTGCTTGGATAAACTTAGAAAACTTCGGTTCTCAGTCGTTTATGTTTCATTATATCTCCTATTCTCCCTGATGGTGCGAATAATATAAACTTAAATCACTACCAAACGATTTATGATCAGTTGATTCATTTAGAAGGTGCAGCGAGACTCTTCAGCCACGCGGTGTTAAGCACGGTCGGTAACCTCCTTGCCAATAGTAAATTCATCGCGAGCTAAGTCTTTCTGCAGGGAAAAAAGACAAGTTATTCATTGTTGATAGTATATTAGCCAAGTGATCTAAAAAGATGGAATTGACCGCATGATCTCATATCTCCCACGACCTTTTGTTATGCACGCCATTCTTGACCCTGGTCCGAAATCACTGATGTGATGGATGTGAGATGGGCGTTTCCGGCCACTTGGTCTCAACGTTTTGTTCTGTTCAAGAGCTGTCACAAAAAATGACGTTTCGTCGATCAGGCCAGTCAAGAGAAATTGCAAATATTTTCATTAACATTTATATTTGTGAATCCTTCAACACAGCATGAACTTGAATACTGTAGCGTGAGCTCTTCTCACCGTCGAACGATGCGTACTATATCAAAGTGGTACTTTAGGAGTCTGTCTTTCCTAAAATGTTGCCCGAGACTAGTAGAAAAGAGTGAGGATATCAGAATCGATCTACAGATCATCGGGTTTTCTTGACACATACGAAACTGCTGAATCATGTGGGCGAGTTGAAAGTCTTGACTGAAATTGTTCGAGCTTCATTAACTCTGGACCGGACTTGGAGACAAAAGAAAAAAAAATTCGGTAATGAAGTAGCGTCAGTCTAACGTTTTGAAACATATTAAGTACTTCTGAACGTTTCTCTATTCTTGTGAAACTAGACCAATACAATATAATGCTGATGTTCCCATGCAAAACAATATAATCATTATTCGATGGCAATCTTTCACAACCAGGTGATTTTGAATATCGGACGGATTCAGCAAAGTTTTTCCTACACGGAATTAATTTGTCAAGGATTAGTTATGTCAGGCGCGCATATCAAACAAAGTGTAGGTCGATAAGAACCAACTGTGATGAGAAGAAGAGTTCAATGCTCAAAATGACGAGAATTTTCAGCTATCAATGAAACCACTCATTCTCATTCGCATAGGTCCAAGATACATGGAGCGTCCTGCAGGGATTCAGTAGGGAGGCGAGTTCTTGGAATACAAGAGAAATAAATCTCTTAAAACTCACAAGCGAGTGTGGCACAGAAATAGAACTTTTAAAGAATCGTTGTTTAACAATCTGCCATGTAGATTGCGATCGCAAAAGGTCTCCATCAGAATGCCAGTGAACTCGAACAGATATGTGAGACTGTTGTGGCTAGCTCTTTCCCCATGTAGTAGAAACTGGATTAAGACGGCGTCAGAAAATTATAATATCTCAATGAGGTTTAAAGTCATTTCAGTTGATCATCATCATTAATATATCGGTTATTATTTCACTATCAGTATGTGTAAAAATTCTCTGAGTACTTCTGTTGGAAGTTTGGCGAGGATCCAGACAAATTTGTGGTTTCTTGCTTCGTGCCTCTAAACTTTTATCTTTTTTTTAACTCATTACGTTTCCGTCAATTTTTGCAAGCACCGGAAAGCGAAAAGGAAGAATTCATCGAAAAAGGTTAAAAATAGTCAAACTGTTGTTTGTTTTCTAGAAAATTTACTGTAAAAATCTTCACTTCGTCCGGCTCACAAAATTAAATGTACTTCACTCAACACGACAGTTCGGTTAACCCCGATTCAGCCGAGAGTTTGTTCGCCAAATTAATTCGATTAAGTTCTTTTACCGAAGATCTTCCATCTTATTTTTTACCCGCAGCGACCTTAGAGAAGAAGTTTTTCTCATCTCGATTTAGCCACAAGTGACATTTCTACGCCATCAAAATGAGTTGCAAGTAAAAATTATTCGGCATTGAGCACCTATTCACAGTTGTTAAATCCTGAGAAAGACAAGACACCACACCACGCATTTTAGATTCTGGAACTTACCAAGTATTTTTCACCCAGATATCATTTTCTTAAACACTTCTCTATTGAAAGATTTTCTCTGCCGTATGGCATCTATTGTTAAATATGGCGCAAATCAGTTTTTCCTAATCGCTTTACCGTTCTCCGTAAACCTGTGGATTTTTCAGAGCCATTGCGAAGTATCTATCTTTACTAGGGCATTAGAGATTCATTTTACATGCAAAACCGTTGGAACTGGTGTTGAAAAGTAGCAGGTAATTAGTTCCAAGTCATGCTCGAGATTCAATAAA